ATATTTGTAGCAATAGCCAACAATACATTGTATGGGTCACAATTATACATTTCTCTTTTATGCCAAAAATCATTAGGATATTAAGATCATGTTCCATGAAGATATTTAGTACATTTCCTACCGTAAATATATCAAAACTTAATGTTTGATTAGTAATATGCATTGCTAAGAACTTCATTTGCACAACTTTAAAGATGATTTTCTCAATATTTAGATTTTTTTGCACCCTCAGATTCCAGATTTTCAAATAGTTGTATCTCAGCCAAATATTGTCCGATCCTAACAAACCATACATCAATGGAAAGCTTATTTATTCAGCTTTCAGATGACCAAAAACTTTTTAGATTCAAAATATTTACCCTTATGATTGGTTTTGTGGTCCAGGGTCACATATTATTTTCTAAAGGCAATAAACAGCATCTTAAACTGACTTTTCTGACAGGGATGTCTTTTTATTATCTAGTTCTTTGCAAAAAAAAGTAAGTTGTAAGTTTTTACTGCTATATGCATTACTCATATAGTAGTCTGATAAATGACTAAATAAAAAATAAAAATAAAATAATCAGTCTGTTATTCAACATAATAGGTGAAGTTGCGCGCATTGTATTTGCATACTACAGAAACGGTAGGATTGGAATGGCATTATGCTGTGCACAGACACACACACACACACACACACGTCTGGTCAGCTATCCTTGTGGGGACTCTCCATAGGCGTAATGGTTTTTCTATACTGTACAGACCCTATATTCTATTGCCCTACACCAACCCTACCCCTAAACCTACCCCTCACAGGAGACTTTCTGCGTTTTTAGATTTTCAAAAAACTTAATTCTGTGTGATTTATAAGCTTTTGTATCCGTGGGGACCACAATTTAGGTCCCCACCGTGACACGAGTCCCCATGAGTCTGTGTGTAGTCAGGTTTAAGTCCCCACCAGGATATATAAACCAGCACACACACACACACACACACACACACACACAGTATGTGACTGGAGGCTCTTGCACCTCCCTCACGATCATTCCCATCAGTGGAGCTTCATGGACGGACAGGAATGGCTGGGTCACGGAGACTTGTTCATTTTTTCACGGCTTTGTGCGTGTTTTTGTGCTGCAGCGCTCCGGTGAACGGAGGAAAGCGAGGAAACTCGGATAAATGCAACTACAAGGTAAAAAAACACACTCGAGCGAAATCTGTAAAACATTAGCGTGCGATGTTCCTGTCAGTGACACGAGCTGAAAACTTTACGAACAAGTTTAGTCATGTCACGTTACCTCAGAAGAACATTTAAAGCTCGTTTTTTCTTAAAGCGTTAAGCCTAAATGAGAGTATTCAGCAACTGTGGCAAATTATTGATCACAAAACTGTGTTTTTGCAATGTGTGGAAGTTAAAATAGCCTACAAGTATCCGAAAGCAAATATCTTTATTTGTAAGGCAGATTATGTGTGTTTATTTGGGTTTACACTCTTAAAAATAAAGTTGTGGTACCATA